CAACCTGTTTCTGCCAGAAATATAAAGGACTATTCCATATCCACCCACAGTAGACAGCTCAGCATTATTACAGGCATCTTTATTCCAAAAGTATTAAATTCACTGAACAAATAGCAAGGATTAAAATTCACTGAAGAAATCAGCTGCTTTATAAAATATGAAAAAATTAAAGACTGTTACATATGGGTAATAGTAAACTGTACTGTACTTTGGTACAGAAGAAGGATGAGATACTCTTTTTCAGATATATCTGAAATTGACCAGCTAATGTATTTTTTCATGAAAATTAAAGTCATTCATTCAACAGATATTGAGTGGACATCTATTATGTGCTCGTCATATACTAAGTACTAAGGATAAAAATAAAAAGTAAGAACTGCTCTCATGGAATTTAAAATCCATCAAAAAACCATCCAGCTACACCCTTTATCTAAAAATTTATCATTTTTATAGGAAGGAGAAGATATATAATTGATAATTATTTTTCATTTTCTTTTTTAAATCTCTATTCATCTAAAGACTATCCATTCTTATTCCTCATAATAAAGATCTTCTCAGTCAAGAAAATAAACTCTAGTGGAAAGTAAAAAGAGAAAAGAACTAAAGTGAAAATGAGATTTTGCTTAAGCTCTTTGTAATTTTAAATTTTTATCATATGATTATAAATTAGAATAACCTTTCTGGGAAAAAAAATAACTTGATATTTGTCACAAGCTTTAAAAATCACACATTTTAGTCTGGAAATTCCTCCTCTAGGAATCACAAATGCAAATATTTGAACACAAATATGTTTATAACCATATAAAAAATAGAATAGAAAAGACCTAAATATTCAAAAATAGAAGGATAAAACAATTACAGCTTATCCACTTAACAGTCCACTATGCAGCCATAAAAAAGATGTTTGCCAAGAAATTTTAAAGTAAAATGTTTACCATATAATTTTAAGTGAAAATAGCAGAATATAAAACTATATATTCTAAGAGTAACTATATTAAAATATCTATATGCACAGGGAAAAAAATCTTAAAAATTCTATTGGAAGTGTAACAAAATATTAACAGTTATCATCTCTGGGTGAAAAATTGAAATTTCACGATGCATATTAGCATACTCAAAGATTCTAAGGACTCTTGCAGTAAAGAAATACATTTGATGGGGCCAGACTGGTGGTGTGGTGGTTGAGTTCGTGTGCTCTGCTTCAGTGGCCCAGGGTTCATGGGTTTGGATCCCAGGTATGGACCTGCACACGGCTCCTCAAGCCATGCTGTGGCAGGCACACCACATGCAAAAAATGGAGGAAGACTGGCACAGATACTGGCTCAGGGACAATCTTCCTCAAGCAAAAAGAGGAAGTATGGCAGCAGATGTTAGCTCAGGGCCAATCTTCCTCACTGAAAAAAAAAAAAAAAGAAATATATTTGACTTTAATGATCAATTAATTGTAAAATACATTTGACTTTTAATACATCAATTGATATAATCACCAATTCAGAAAATCCAAAAGAGGGAAACACTACATTTAAGTAAGCGGCTAACACTTGTGGTCTCCTGAAATTAATAATGTGTCATATTATAATTGGCAATATTCCCATCTTAAGACATTTCTTTCAAACTTAAATGTAACTAGGCAAGTGTGATTTAGAAGTTTTAATTTTACACACTAACATCTTCTCTCAAAAGATGCTGAATGCTCAATTTGCTATTAAAAAATGTTCACAACTAACTAGCTACTTGAAACAGGTTTTCTATAGCAAAGTAAGTATTAAATCTTCTGCAGAAACAATTTAAAGATATTTTTATAAATGTAATAGCCAGAAATCAGAAGAGTGGAGTTTAGGAATCCAATTATAGAAATGTTGACTTCTGAGGAAAATTTTTACAATCTGAAGTGAGCATAAAAAGCAATGTAAGAAAGTCCTTTGACCGGGGCTAATCACTCTGGAGCTCATGAGTAACATCACACTGCACCATGGCCCGAGGCCAAATAATAAAGTGCCAAATGGAAAATGGCTCAAGTCCATGGCCTGTAAATACTGTATCAAAAGAAAATAAAGGAAAAAATCTTTCATTAGAGCAATTAAAAACGGAGTTGTAGTACCAGTTCCTGTGATGAATAAATCAGTTCAGCAATTCCAAGAGTGGACAGCCACTGTTTAAACACATTCTCCATTGGCAGTAACTTTAAGTTTAAACCCTTACTGTATGTTTCTTTAGTTCCTAAACTGTTTTAAACACTAAGGTGTTTCTGGATGGTGTAGTTGGTTTATAGCCCTACTACCTGAAATTTTCACATACGGCATTTGATGGTTAGGCATCTACCTGACCCCTTATATTACACAATGGTAGCCAAGAAAATACAGATAAATACTGCAAGTAAAAGCATTCCTACCAATGGCCCAAACTTTAGACCATAAACTCCAAAGAAATGAAAAGTTACTACTAACCCAACATCAATTATTCATTATTCCATAATTTCATTTGTCAAACTATGCATCCTAAATTAGCATATTCTGCTACAGAGTTTCTGAAAAAACCCAAAGGAAGCTGTAAATTCAGTAGTGAATTTGAAAATCTTTCAAAAAGAATTCAAAACCACACTAAGTGCCCTAAACTAGCCACTAGTCCTTGGGGATGTTCCTATCTTTAGGGCACCATTTCCTAGCCTAAATGTACAAAACATTTGTGTTCTATAAGAAGTAAACAAGTGCCTGCATCACTTAGCTTTTGCTAACTAACCCAAATTTAGTGGCTCGAAATTCATTATTTCTGACAATTCTGAGAGTTACCTGAGTGGTTCTTTTGGTCCGGGCAAACTTTGACGGGGGTAGGATAGTCTAGCATGGCGTCACACATTTGACAATTGGCAAGATGGCTGGACTAAAAGGATCTCAGCCAGGAGAGCTCATGTCTGCTCTCTCATCCTCCAGAAAGCTAGTACAGACTTCTAACACAGCTAACACTTCAAAGAGCAGCAAGAAAAGGCAGGTCCCAAGCTTTCAAGCCTGCATGCACTGTCACTAATATCCTACTGGCCAAAGCAAGTTACAGGGCCAAGTACAGATTCAACGGGTGGGAAACTTGACTTCATTTCTTTTGTGGTAGGAGCTACAAAGTTGCAGTACTAAAGGGCAAACACACAGTGACAGGAAGAATCTGTGGTCATTTTTTGCAATCTACCACACTATAAAATGCAGAAAGTCTCTGCTCCACATGGTCCATGGCCAAGTAAGTTTCCCTAACAGCTCTCTTTTGACACTTGACAATACATATCAGCATATTAAAAGACTCTGAGAAGTCCTGCAGGAAAGAAATACAATTGATTTTATTTAAACCAGTATTTCCCAAATTTATTTGACCATAAAACACATTTTTCAAGGAAGACTCACTTCTAAAAATGAAAACAAATTCAATGATTTCTCCCCACTCTATCATTCCTCAAAGTCTACTGCATTGATTTAATATCATTTTAGCCTCTTTTATTTTTTAACTTACAACAACTAAAAAACATTGGTTAATGATCAAAAGAACTGTGAATGCTGACATGCCTATACACAATGGGGCAAAGGATAAAAAACTATGCCTGACTCTCTTAACAAGGCTCTGAGTTTTCAAATAACTGTAATGTCAGAGCTTTTACAAGACAGTATCTAAGAAGGAACAGGACTATCTCAAAAGAGAAAAAGAAATGGGGCAATACTATACAGGCAAAGGGAACAGTCACAAAATTGCATTCTTCCCTCAGAGCTCTCCTATAACTGACAGAGAGCAATCTGTAAACCTTCCTCAAGCTACACTAAGACATAGACATTCTCCTTATGCTCAAGCCAAGCTTGATGGCACATTCCCTATCTCAGTACAATGCAGGACACACTGCCAAAGCTTTCTTTCAATGTTCATTATCTAGAAATATTAATATATTCAAAGAAAACTATAAGGCCATTTTTTTCCTACACATCAGGCTCACTTAGGTCTGGGAGGACATAACAGATGACCCATGCATAAAAGATAACTTTTGTTGCACTTGTGGTGATTTAACAGAGAACTGTGCAAAGACTGTCAATGATGAAGTATATGTAAAAGAACCCAAGGAAACATCAGGATTATTAGTAGAAGGTATCATAATTAGAAGATTTTTTGGTCCTAAAATTAGCCTACTTGACATTTTCTTATAAAACTAAACATACAATTAGTATACAGCCAAGCAATTGCATTCTTGGGCATTTATTCCAGAGAAATGAAAACTTACATTCACACGATATCTATATACAATTGTTCATATCAGCTTTATTCATAATAGCCCAAAACTGGAAACAACCTAGGTGTCCTTCAACAGGTGAATGGTTAAATAAACTATGGTACATATATTCCTTCAGGAATAGAAAGGAACAAACTATTGATACACATAACAACTTGGATGAATATCCAGGGAATTATGCTAAGTGAAAGAAAAAAACTAATCCCAAATAGTTGCATACTACGTAATTCCATTTATATAACATTTCTGAAATGACAGAATTTTAGAAATGGGTATAGGAACAAGGTAGGTGTGGTTATGAAAGGGCAATGCAAGAGATCATTGAGGTGATGAACTACTCAGTATCTTGATTCTGGTGACGGATACACAAATCTTTATGTCTAATAAAACTGCACGGAACTAAATACACACACACACACACGTGCAGACACATAAATGAATACAAGTAACACTGGGGAAATCTGAATAAGATGAATGATTATATCAATAGAACATCCTTCTTGTGATACTGTAGTATAGTTTTGCAAGATGTTACCACTGGAGGAAACTGGGTAAAGGATACACAGGATCTCCCTACAGTATTTCTTACACCTGCACTGAAACTACAATTATCTCCATAAAAGTTTCAATTCAAAAAACTTTTTTTAAAGTTTAGCCTAGAAAGGTAGTTTCCCTGGAGTCTGAGTCTCTTTCAGAGTTTAATTCAAACAGTGCGACTAGCATTGGGCTACAAATGACTTACATTTGGGACATCAATTGCTACCTCCCTCATGGCACTGGGCCTGATGTCATTCATTCCCTGCAAGAAATCATTCAGAGTAATCTTCACTAATCCAGCCACCTTGCTGTCAGGGAGGTTAGGCTGTTTCTTCAGAACTCTCCGCAAGGCATAGAGACCTGCAAAGAGAAAAGTAGCACAAGATTTATTGTCTACCCCATAAATACAGACTGAACCATTATCAATAAAAATAATAATAATAAACCCAAACCTAAAGTATATTATAGAATTTAACTTTTTTTGTTTGTCTATGTGTATGAGGGTAGAAGGGTATGAAGGGAGATGGAAGAATGTGGAGATGAAGGTAAAACTCCAAATGCTTAGTTCTGGCAGCAGTGAAAATATGACAAACTGAGATGAAATATGAAAGATATTTTCCGAACATGAAACAAAACTTACAAAACAACATCACAAAAAAGACCATAAAGATTTGTCAAAATACTCAGTTTGGGGAATTTCTTTTAAAAGAGTAAAACATTAAGGTAACAACATACCTTTTGTCTCTGCCCATTTTGTTCATATATTCAAACCAGAGTTACAAGTTTTGTAAGATGCTGGCAGAACATCTTAAAGGAAATATTCAGTTGGCAGTTGTAAATGTGGTTTTGGAACTCAAGAGAGAATCAGATTTCAGAGTTATGTGCATACACATGAGACCTGCTATTAAGGAGTGGAAGAGATCTATAAAGGGAGGCTAGAGAGAGATCAGGGATGGAAAAAAGAGGGCTGAAGACTCAATCTTAGGAAAGCTCATCATTTGAAGAAAGTAAGAAAAAATGATGGTTTAAAAAAAGAGAGAATTAATAGGAAGAGATAGAGGAGTAGAAACAGAATAGTAAAATACTACAAGAGCCAAAAAGATGGTCAACCAATTCAAATTTAGAAAATTCCAAAATAACTTAAAAGAGATCACGCTGACCTGGAAAGTTAAAGATGGTCAGATCTTTGTTCTTGCCATCTGCTTGGAGTTTAAACACTGACAGGACTGACTGTCCCAACTCCCTCCCCCCACAATTAAGTTGCCAGATTTAGAGCCCTTTGATCTGTGACAAAGACCTCGAGTCTAGAGGGCAGCAAAATCCCTCTGAGCTCCTTGCCTTAGGGTCTTTTTTAATGAAGTGCTACATTTGTGCTCCAGTGCACATGAAGTTCCACTTGGAAGAACTTTAGTCCCAGAGACCACTTAGAAATCCAGTCTGAACATATGAACTTGCCCTGGAACACCACCTGGCTCCATGATTTTTCACTGTCTTTTGTCTAAAATATCATGCCTCAGTGAATTTTTACTAAATTAAAATATGATAATTGCCATTTTACTTGCCTTTATATTTGAACTTTTATAGAGAAACAGAAGCATTGATACAAGGAAGACAGATGCAAACTCCCCAAAACAGAGGGTTGGGTATCTCTGACTAAGAAAAAACAATGGGAAGTACAACAATACTGAAAAAATAAATTCATCATAATATTTCCCAGGAAACTATCAGTGTGAGTCTAATATCATGGAGGTCTCTGAGATAGTAGGCTAACTGGAAAAAAATTACACAAGAGGATATATGTAAAAATATCACTATTTTCTAGGGAAAATTTCTTAGGCCATTCTCTGCAAACTAAAATCTGTAAGTCATTTATTTAGGTCGATCTTACAAATATCCATTTGGTTTTTCTGCCTTCCAAAATGTTGAAAAACAATTCTTCCTGTCTCTCTCAAATTTCTGCTTATCTTTCAAGCAGAAGCACTAACTACCTCTGTTAGACTATCTTTTCAAGGATGTTTGTATACAGGAAGATAAGAGTGAGTCCCCCCAAAGCAAAGGGCAGACATGCTTACTGCCCATTACAAAAGACTCAGGTTCCCTAAATTCAGGGTTATCTTCCCGTAATGCCAGAACTCAGATGTCACTGAGCCCTCTTTGTGTCACTCTGTGAAAACTGAGGCTTAAAGAACTGGTGCAAATGCTGCTGCTCTGGCTACTTCTGTTGCTGTAAGTAATATTCTGTCCTTTGACTCTGACCCAGGAATATTGTGTCTTCCACAAGCATTTGCAAAATTTGTTAACTTACCAGTAGGGTAAAATCTCAGACCCTTCACAGCTCTTATCACAAATATAAAAGTTTATGTCAAATTAGGTTGTTTCATTGACCAACATATTTTTTAGTTAAATGGTGCAGTAGCATAAAAACTAAATAAATAAAACTTCAGTAGCAACCTGTTATGTTGTATTAAACAGCACCTTGGTAGCCTGAATGAATTCAAGCAGTTTCTAAAAAATCTTACATAAATGAAAGTAATCAAAAGACCAGAAGAATCTGACGCTTCTTCATGTCCCAAATGGCTATGTGGCAACATTTATCAATATTTCTAATTTAGACCAAATACCTCACTCTTACCGGTATTGAAGACACTAGAAAGAGCAACAAGGGAAGTGGTCTAATAATTTTCCGGCCACAGTTATGTCAGGTAAGTATAAAGTTTGACAATAAAGGAGACCAATTATTTTCATTTGACGAAGGGGTTTGGAAAGGGCAGGAAATATATAGTTTTAAAAAGCTCAGACAATATTATAAGTATTATTTACAAAACAAACCTCCAGGATTGCAAACACAAACTACAGAATTTAGAAGTGGACAAAAACTCCTCATCTTTGAGGACAGCAAGAAAATAGCAGTAATTCCCAGAGACAGAAAAGGCAAAAGAATAAAGAAGCCTGGAGTTTTCAAAAGTTAAGAAATAGTTAAGTACAAAGATTGATTCTGTGATGAACACAGCACAACTTAACATATCCAAATGATAGGTAAACATATTTACCAATGATGCAACCATTTCTAAAAATATTTTTGAAACTTCTCTTTTTAAGATTATAAGTCATGTATAGAAAATAAGTCTTAAGCCCTTGCTTTATCACTCATCTTAGTCTCTAGAAAGAAATACAAAAGTCTGGGGCTGGCCCCCTGGCTGAGCGGTTAAGTTTGTGTGCTCTGCTTAGGCGACTCCAGGTTTCACTGGTTCGGATCCTGGGTGCAGACACGGCACCACTCATCAGGCCATGCTGAGGCAGCATCCCACACAGCACAACCGGAAAGACCTGCAGCTAGAAATACACAACTATGTACTGCGGGGCTTTGAGGAGAAGAAGAAAAAAAAAAGAAGATTGGCAACAGATGCTAGCCTAGGTGCCAATCTTTAAAAAAAAAAAAAAATACAAAAGTCTATCGACTATTTCTAAAATACACTTATGATTAAAAGATGAAATGGGCCACCACTGAGCATATCGATCAAGAATTGAAAAATAAAGGTTTGAAGTAAAGGCATTTAGGCCAAGTAAAGACAGTAGATTAAACACAAAGCACTTAACTTTTCTCCCTTCTAAAACCCCACGAAAATGACTGTAAAGGGATTTTCTTAAAGAAGCATAAACCCCAAAGGGCAAACAGAATAAGAGAGGAAACAACATAACAGCAACAAAAATTTTGGAAGCTCAACAGCAGATGAACAAGTAGTAACTGAATATAACTGACCCAAGAAAGCTGATACCCAAGTATAGAATGAAAAAAATCTGAGAGCAACAAGATTTACGCCATAGACCCCCTCCTACTCACCCCACCCACATACAACCAAAAAACCTCAAAACTAAGCAGCAGAAATCACCTATGAAAAGAAATAGAAAAGTTGGGGTTAAAATGGAGGATTAGGATAGAAGTCTGTTAGGAAGCAGTTAGATCCCCAAGATCCACTCCACAATTTCATGGAGTCAGATGACCCCTCCTGTCCCCTACATCTGAAGATGTATTCTCTGGGTAAGTAACACAAAAGGTTTCTAGATTGGGGGGGACATGAAGTACAGTTAAAAGAAAGGGAACCACTAAAAAGGGAAATTAGCAGGACCTCACCTCCTCCATTCCACTCTCCCCCTCTGCTCCCAGAATTTACAGCCATGTTATACCTGCCACATAAGAAGCTGAAAGATCCTTCTCCCAGAAGTGTACCAGCCCAAGAGGAAAGAACTATGGATAGTGACAGGATTTCACCGAGGCTATACCACGTAGGCGTGTGTAAGTACAATCTATCATGTTCGCACAATGACAAAATCACCTAACGACACATTTCTCAGAATGTATCCCCATAGTTAAGTGACGCATGACTATACTAGAAATGTTAACACATATTTTTAAATGGACAGAGTGTAGTTAATCAAACTAAAGTTAATCATGAGGCTGCGAGGAAATAATAGGTAAGCCAGTGAGATAGATATCCCCACATTATTCTTTTGCAGAGAGGGTTTTTAATATCCAGAGGGAATATTTGTTTTTTTAAATCTCTATTGTATCTGTAGTTATTTCCTCCATTCTATATTTTATTTGCATCTTCTTTTCTCTTTCACCCAAAACACCCACTAGTGTAGTTCTGTCCCTTGAATGGACCTAGGTCTGACTTCATAATCTTAAAAATCTTTTCAAAGAATGAGATTTTTTAAACTTTATTGTGTTGTTTTGTTCTCTATTCCATTGACTCTACCCTTACTTTCTTTTTCTTTCTTTTTTTTTCTTTTTGAGGAAGACTGGCCCTGAGCTAACATCTGTGCCCAACTTTCTCTACTTTATATGTGGGACACCTGCCACAGCACAGCTTGATAAGCGGTGCCTACGTCCATGCCAGGGATCCAAACCAGCAAACCCCAGGCCACCAAAGCGGAGCACGTAAACTTAACTGCAACACCACCAGGCTGGCCCCAACCCTTACATTTTTAATTTTCTTCCTCTTTGGGTTTACTCTGCTGATGTTCTCCAAGTATAGTAGTCCCCCCTTATCCACGGGGTATATGTTCCAAGACCCCCAGTGGATGCCTAAAACAGAGGCTAGTGCTGAACCCTATATACACTATGTTTTTTCCTATACATACACACCTAGGACAGAGTTTAATTTATAAACTAGACACAGCAAGAGATTAACAACAATAACTAATAATAAAATAGAACAATTATAATATATTGTAGTAAAAATTACCACAGATCTTAGCGGCCTCAGCATACAATTTTTTCCTTCCCTTGTTAAGTTGAGAACTTTCACCTTTTCACTTAAAAGAAGCACTTTACATCTTCTCTTTGGCATATCTAAATT